ACCCCCCCCCCCCCCCCCCCCCAATCCCACTTACCAAACAACCCTAGGTCCCTATAGCATTGCTCATTAAGTATTTGATTTTTATGTTATGATACTCTTTTGCAAAGATTTTGTTGAATTGAGGTTGTGCGTTTTAAGGAAATTGAAAACGAAGCATAACATAACATTTTAAAGTAAGGGAAAAAGATGCTGTAATACATTTCAGGACTCAGATAAATAAGTATTATTTCAACTTCTGTTTTTGATTCTATTTTTGGAATTATATAATTGATTATATGTGGCTACAAGCCTAATTTTTCAGCTAATAGTTGAAATGCAAACACGTGTGTGCGTGTTTTTGTTAGTAACCTCAGTATTGGTTATGGTTCTAAATGATGGCAATAAAAATTTTCAGGTCTTCCACCATGTTATGGTTTTTAATTATTTCTTCCTTTTTATTTTCGATTGTTTGTCTCCAGTTTACCCTGCTTGTAGGGGTGGAAACGATGCGTGCCAAGTCAATAAGTGGTTGCTTAGGTTTGGCTCACTACATTTATTGTTATGCTCGTAGCCATGCCCGGGATAGGTTCACACTAGAGGCTTTAGAATTAAAGATTTTCAAGTTGTAAAATAAAGTCAGGTGGTAGCACACATGCTAGTGTAACAAGTGCACTTAAACAAGAATATTGAGATGGAACATTAACAATTATGAAGTGTGTATGGCTTTAATCATGAGAAGTTAGAGGTAAATGACAGAATCAGGATCAAGCTCTCCTTGAAGGAATTGGATTACTACTTGGCAATTCAGGCAATTTTGAGGTATGTCATTATCAATCAGGGATATTTTGGTTCTGCCAGTACCTAAAAAGAGAGCATTTTTTGACTTATAATGTGAAAGAGGCAGTTGTCTCACATGATATTCATTCTAATCAACTTGTGATTCTGTGACTTTAGGCTTATATGGTGCGGAATCCTGTCGCAACCTTCTTGTGAGGATCTTGAAATAAATGTCATCTGGTCTTTGCTCAGAAATATTTCAAAGTTTATGGTCGGAGCTATCATTTGTTTAAAAACAAATGGTTGGAGCTGGTGACCTTTGCGATCCGATGGCTAATTAAAAACCTAGTTGACACTTTAAGCTTGAGCTCATCTCGTTAATATTACTGGCGAGCTTAAATGAGTGAAAAACCAGCTGAGTCCAAGTTAAGCTCAGGCTTCTTGGCTTCTTTTCAACCTTACGTGCATGAGTGAACCAACACTGGCTAATGGCCTTTAGTTAGTTGTAATGGGTTTCTGCAATCGCTGGACTTATGAAGGAAGCACGTGATTTAACGAAAATGAGAAGACAGCAGTTATTCTAGTAACACACCACTCAAGCCACTATTTTATTACATCCTTGATTTTCTCACAAGAAATATATTTTGAGCATGTGTGGGAGCCTTGTGTAATGGACCTCCTCTTTTTTATGTTCCATATGCGGTGTTGTTGAAATTGTGAAAGAGTGCTTACAGTGATGAGTAGGGATTAGCCTTCGGAAGGAATGGAGTTCCTATATTTTGTTTGGTTGTTAATACATTTGTGTGGCCATTATCTGGCATAGTAATAGGACAACACAGTAACACACACTTGTTGAACATTAGAAGGCTGTTACCTAGAGGAACCATATTGATTGGGGATGTGGAAGTTGTAGAAAAATCCAGGATTTCTATTTACCTGGACTGGATGTCCATGGACTTTTGACTTTGTTTTTGTTCTTGCCAGTTCAAGCTTTTATTGTTGCGTGAACAATGGTGTCCATTTTAGAAGATGATATTATCACAGTTTGAATTGCTCAGCTTTATCATCATGCTCACCATCTATCATGCTTTTGTGTCTTGCTGTCGTAGGATTTTGAAGTTCGGGAGTATGCAATATCATTGGCTGGGAGATTATCAGAAAAGAATCCAGCTTATGTCCTTCCAGCCCTTCGTCGCCATCTTATTCAGTTGTTAACGTATCTAGAACACAGGTAGAGTGTGAGGATCCAGTCAGTGAAATCCAGTAGACAATATTTTGGGTGCTACTAATATGAGTTTCTATACCAGTCAGAACTTTTTTTCTTTTGTCTATATCTTTTATAGCTTTTAGTTATTGATTCATTTTTATATGTAAGCAGTCCAGATAGCAAATGTAGAGAAGAAAGTGCCAAATTGTTGGGCTGCTTAATTCGCAATTGCGAACGTCTAATACATCCTTATATTGCTCCAATCCACAAGGTTTGTAGTTCACTTGTCTAAACCTGTTATCTAGGTCCACAATTTGCTTACTTGCTCATATAATTCTCCAATTTTTTAGGCACTTGTGGCAAAACTTTGTGAGGGAACTGGGGTGAATGCTAACAATGGCATTATTAGTGGAGTTCTTGTCACTGTTGGAGATCTTGCTAGAGTGGTGGGTAATTTTTGTAATTAAATTGCTCTCACTCTTAATTCATTGATGATGTATTGTTTGGATCTGCTTGACATTTTTCTTACGGAACTATTTGGTTAGAAAGGAGGATACTTTTAATTACACTACGGATTATTCTTCTTTCTGGGGGGCAAATTGTTCCTTCTACCTTCTTCATGGCAGACTGGTTGCTTGTACATATGTATACATGTATATGTATGTATCATATGTTCATAGAGTATTGTATGATGGTTCCACCCTATTTTTGGTGGTGCTAGTGGATCTTGCCTAAAGGTACAGGCTTGATTTAGTGGGTGGGCTCTGCTGAGTCCCAGAACACTAGTGTATTTTCTGTATTTAAAATTTTTCGTCAATTTGTTGATAAATTGAATCAAGTATGTTAATATCTAGGTTACAATGAGTTTTGAGACAGTCGTCCCCTCGTTTTACATTTCAGATAGGCTATAAATGCATAGCATTATAAAGTGGGATCGACTACCAAACTAGATTTCAGAAAGTTTTGAGCCCCCCCCCCCCCCCCCCCCCCCACCCCCACCACCAA